TTTTTTTCAAATTTCTGAAATAAATGAAAATATGAATAAATTTTCTAAATAAAAAGTAAAAATCTGAATAAAATTATTTTTTTATTTTCAAAATTTTAAAAATAAAAAATAAAAAAAAATTTCTAAATGAAAAAGCAGAAATCAAAAAATTAACTTTTTTTATATTTCCAAATAAAAAAAAATATTTAGTAAAAATCTTATATTTCCAAATGCAAAAACATAATTACTTAGTAACTTTAGCTTTTTCTCATTTTTCTAAATAAAAAAGCATAAATCAGAATGAAATATACCTTATTTTCAAATTTCCAAGTGCAAAAACATAAATACTTATTCACTTTAGTTTCTTTTCATATTTTTAAGTATAAAGTATAAATCTGAAGAAAATATAACTTATTATTTCTATTTATATTTCCAAATGCAAAAACATAAATACTTAGTAACTTTAGTTTCTTTTCATATTTTTAAGTATAAAGTATAAATCTGAAGAAAATATAACTTATTTTTATATTTCCAAATGCAAAATCATAAATAGTAACTTTAGCTTCTTTTCATATTTATAAATAAAAAAGCATAAATCTGAAGAAAATATAACTTATTTTTATATTTCGAAATGCAAAAATATGAGTAATTAGTAACTTTAGCTTCTTTTCATATTTCTAAATAAAAAAGCATAATTCAAAATGAAATATACCTTATTTTCATATTTCCAAATGCAAAAATATAAATACTTAGTAACATTAGCTTCTTATCATATTTCTAAATAAAAAAACATAAATCTGAAGAAAATATACCTTATTTTTGTATTTCCAAATGCTAAAACATAAACACTTAGTAACTTTAGCTTCTTTTCATATTTCTAAATATAAAAGCATAAATCTGAAAGAAATATAACTTATTTTTATATTTCAAAATGCAAAAATATAAGTAATTAGTAACTTTAGCTTCTTGTTATATTTCCAAATAAAAAAGCATAAATCTGAAGAAAATATGACTTATTTTTATATTTCCAAATGGAAAAACATAAATAATTAGTAACTTTAGCTTCTTTTCATATTTCCAAATAAAAAAGCATAAATCAAAATGAAATATACCTTATATTCATATTTCCAAATGCAAAAACATAAATAATTATTCACTTTAGCTTCTTTTCAGATTTCTCAATAAAAAAGCCTAAATCTGAAGCAAATATAACTCATATTATATTTCCAAATGGAAAAACATAAATAGTAACTTCAGCTTCTTTTCATATTTCTCTATAAAAAGCATAAATTTGACGAAAATATAACTTATTTTTATATTTCCAAATGCAAAAACATAAATACTTAGTAACTTTAGCTTCTTTTCATATTTCTGAAGAAAATATAACTTATTTATTATTTTGTAATGCAAAAACATAAATAGTAACTTTTGCTTCTTTTCATATTTCTAAATAAAAACGCATAAATTTGAAGAATATATAACTTATTTTTATATTTCCAAATGCAAAAACATAAATACTTAGTAACTTTAGCTTCTTTTCATATTTCTAAATAAAAAAGCATAAATCTGAAGAAAATATAACTTATTTTTATATTTCCAAATGCAAAAACATAAATAATTAGTAACTTTAGCTTCTTTTCATATTTCTCCATAAAAAGCATAAATCTGAAGAAAATATAACTTATTTTTATATTTCGAAATGCAAAAATATAAATAATTAGTAACTTTAGCTTCTTTTCATATTTCTAAATATAAATGCGTAAATCTGAAGAAAATATAACTTATTTTTATATTTGGAAATGCAAAAACTTAAATACTTAGTAACTTTAGCTTCTTTTCATTTTTCTAAATAAAAAAGCATAAATCAAAATGAAATATACCTTATTTTCATATTTCCAAATGCAAAAACGTAAATAATTAGTCACTTTAGCGTCTTTTCATATTTCTAAATAAAAAAGCATAAATCTGAAGATAATATAACTTATTTTCATATTTCCAAATGCAAAAACATAAATACTTAGTAACTTTAGCTTCTTTTCAGTTGAGAAAAGCGTACGTAACGCAGCGAATGCTGCGGCAACGTCCATTCGACGGTCCCAGGAATCCATGGCTGAGAAAATTGCACGCCATGCTGCCGACGCCGCTGCAGCTTCTGCAATGGCGTCTGTAAGTTCCGCAAAAAAGTTCCATAAGTTATAAAAGCGCACAAGGCGGTAACGCGATGCAATTTCAACTTCTGCTGCTTGAGCTGTAGAAGGACCTACTGAAAGGCTTGAAAGGTTTCAGACTGTTAACCAGCGCCGCCATGCACAGCGAGGGCTCTGTAGCCCACCAAAGAACTTTTGGTTTAAGCTGGCGTTCAACTATGAGACAGTTTTGAGGCTTTCCGGTCGCAAAGACCTCCAAATAGGATCCATGTGAGTTGTCTGTGGGCATTGCAATGTCAAAAAATGGCCTGGAGAATATGCAGGTTTGTGTTGTTCAGACGGTAAGGTGCAGTTGCCACCTTTTCAAGAGCTACCTGCTCCGTTGAAAGCTCTGTTGGAGGGTTCCAGTCCAGACTCCAATCATTTCCTCGCGAAAATCAGGCATTACAATTGTGCCTTCCAGATGATCTCTTTTGGTGGTAATGCCTTCCGAGAAGTCGGTTGGAATCCCACCTTCAAGGTTCAAGGTCAGATTTACCACCGGATTGGGTCTCTTTTGTCGGAAACTGCCACTGATTCGGCCTTTCTACAAATATACTTCATAGCTGACTACAATCAACAGGGAGATGCCCGCATAGGCATTATTCCCGAGAACGATACACACCAGCACAATCATCCTCGCAGGGATATCATAATAAGTCTCCAACAAATGTTCCACGAGACAAACAGCTATGTCCGCAGTTTTAAGTATGCTCTCGAAAATAACACTTCTGATTTCATTATTGTAACTGATGCTGACAAACAGCCTCAGGTAGAGCACGAACGTCGTTACAATGCTCCCGCAAGTAACGAAGTTTCCGTCATTGTCAGCGGTGATCAGCACAACAGACGTGACATTGTTATCAAATCGCGCGGCAGTGGGCTCCGAAGAACCAGTGAAACGCACCGGTCCTACGATGCACTGCAATACCCACTTCTCTTCCCTTACGGAGAAGATGGGTACCACTTTGGCATTCTGCAAAATGGGTCCACCTTAAAAACAGTGTCTTGCAGGGCTTTCTACCTACCTATTGATGGTACATGAGGGTGCATTCAATCATCTTTATCGAAGCCGGCAACTTTTCCATCAATTCATAGTAGACATGGCTGCTAAGTTGGAATCCGAAAGACTCTGTTACATTAGATTGAATCAAACCAAGTTGCGCTGCGACTCTTACATTCACTTCCGTGATGCTTTACGAAATGACGCTGATCCACGCAATATAGGCAAGATGTGCATACTACCTGCAACGTTCACAGGCAGTCCACGATACATGCACGCGAGGACGCAAGATGCGATGACATACGTTCGTAAGTACGGCCGACCAGACCTATTCATAACTTTCACGTGTAATGGTACGCAATTGCTAAAGAACATGCCAGGGCAATCGGCCTAAAACCGCCCAGACCTCATTGCGCGCGTTTACCATCTGAAGTTAGAAAGGTAATGGATGTGATGACAAAGGGACATGTTTTGGGGGCTGTTTGCTGTCGCATGTACACTATTGAGTGGCAGAAACGCGGCCTGCATCACGCACATATACTAATTTGGCTGTGCGACAAAATTGAGGCCACAGAAATCGATCATCTTATTTCTGCTGTAATTCCTGATCCGTCGGCTGACCCTGAATTGTACGAAATAGTGATAACCAACATGATCCATGGTCCCTGCGGGTCGCATTACAATTACACCAGCTGTCACAACAGCGACGGCAAATGCACCCGGCAGTACCCACGAGATTTCGTGAGCGAAACCATTACAGGGAGCGATGGTTATCCACTGTACCGGCGAAGGAGTCTCGCTGAGGGAGGATTTACAGCCGTGGTAAAGGGCCACCAAGTGGATAACAGATGGGTAGTGCCATACTGTCCCCTGCTAACAAAGGCGTTTGTTGCAGACTGGTGATTGTGTTTAAATTGATCAGAAGGAATTTCGAGGCCGTGTTCTACAACATTCGTCCACAACAATTATTTAGAACAAATACTTGGAACAAATCATGCAAATAAAGTTAAAAACAAGACAAAAGTTAAATGCATAACAATAACATCAATTTATATACAATTTAATATACTGTGGGTTTAAGATTTGATGGATAAATGAGGATTAGTGTATTTAATTGTGTATTGTGTTATTGTGAATGTTTGGGTGCGTTTGCAGGTATTGATTAGATTTGTTCATAGAATTAAACTGTTTGTTTGATCAACGTACAAAAATGTTCGGTGTTGAGGTTGAATCGTTAGTGTATGTACGTAAGTGTGTTTATACAAATATTCAAAGTGGTTCAAAGTTGCGTACCTTTATCTGCTTGAGAAAAATAGATTGTTTGTTACTGATACTTGTTATGTAGTGAGAAATCTCACTTTGAAAGTATAATAAGTGAAGTTTGAGAAATGTTCTAGAGAGAGATAGAGTGTGTCCAAAGGTTGCTGAGTCAGAGAATATTTTTGCGCGGCAAAGTCAGAGTTTTGACTGGCGTGGAGTTGATGGGCATCTCTCTAGGTGTGGAGGTCTGACTGGTGAATTGGACTGAAATTCGTCCTTTTATTTGATTTGGGAAACCAAAGTAGGGTCCTAGTGGCCTGGCGGGAAAACAGATTTTTGACCATGGATACACATTCTAGGGTCGTCTCGACCAATAACAAGCCGAGTTTCACAATGTATGGTGTTGATTGGTCAAAGCTAATTCTTATAGAAGAGTCTACTTTTAACGGGGGTGAGTAGACAAACATTGACGATTCTATACGGCCAATGCGCACATCAATGTCGAATATTGCCATTCAGTTCGCTCCATCAAGTATGTATGCAAGTACATCAACAACGGGACTGATGCTGCAATGTTTGGTATTAGGCAGGAAGGTTCCGTAGACGAAATCCAGGACTTCCTTGCAGGGCGCGTCATTAGCAGCACAGAGGGCCCTTGGCACATATTCAGCTTCCCCATCCACGAACGCTTCCCAGCAATCGTCCAGCTTGCTGTGCACCTAGAAAACGACGAACTTCGTTATTTTTCTGCGTATGTGGCTGCGCGTACCAAAGACACAACGCTTACAGAGTTATTTAAACTTTGTCGACAGGACGAGTTTGCTAGGACTACTGTACCCAGACGTGCCTTCATGCTACGTGTGGACAAAAAAGAACACATGGGCTCGGCGGAAGCCCGGGGCCAACGTCGAGGGCTATCCAGGGGTCAAAAAAGACGCCACACTCGGAGAAGGGTATTCACGGTTCCTCCATCGCGACAGGAATGTTTTTACTTGCGACTCCTTTTGCACGAAGTTAGTGGTCCAACGAGCTACAATAACTTACGGACGGTTAATGGAGTTTTATGTGACACTTTTCGTGAGGCCTGCCTCCGTCTCGGCCTTTTGGAAGACGACAGCCAGTGGGATGCCACAATGGCTGAGGGAGCTCTTTTAAAAATGCCCTCTGCTTTGCGCCACCTCTTCACCACAATCTTACAAATGTGCGAACCCAGTGATCCCAAATCACTTTGGGACAAATACAAGGACTTTTTGTCAGGGAAGCGCAACTGCTGTGTCCAACAATGGCTCTTACATTCAACGATGGAATTTACAACAGGGCGCTTATAATCATTGAGAACCTGTTCGTTGAAATGGGGGGGATCTCTTACCGCTATTGGGCTTCCAACGCCAGATCGTGTGACTTGTGGGAGACATCCTACTCTGTTGAGAAGCTCAATGCCTATGTCACAACAAATGAGCCAAAACTTCTCATAGACCAAAGGGCCGCTTACGATGCGGTTCTTGCATCCACCAGGCAGGATACAGGATCAATTTTCTTCCTGGACGCGCCTGGGGGAACGGGAAAAACGTTCGTATCAAAACTGCTTCTTGTAGAAATTCGGCGCCATGGCGAAGTGGCGCTAGCAGTAGCATCTTCAGGCATTGCTGCCACATTACAACCGGGTGGCCAAACAGTGCACTCAACGTTTAAACTTCCGCTTGACCTGATTAAGGCAGAAACAGCTGTATGCAGTATAGCCAAGCAATCAGGTCTAGCGGAGGTACTCAGGCGATATAAGCTTATTGTCTGGGATGAGTGCACTGTCAGTCCCAAAACTGCACTCGAGGCTATAAACCGCTCTCTGAAGGATATTCGAAACTCCAATGACCTTATGGGAGGTATAACTGCCTTCTATCCAGTGACTTTAGCCAGACCCTCCCCGTTGTATCTAAGGGGACAAGGGCCGACGCTATTCGAGCATGTTTGAAATCGTCACAACTTTGGCCCACTGTTAGACCATTGCACCTTACCACCAACATGCGTGCACACCTAACTGGCGATGTTGGGTCCGCCGAATTTTCGAATATATTATTAGCCCTTGGCGAAGGTATTATTCCAGCGGACGCTAATGGATTTGTAAACGTCCAAGGGTTGTCTACAGTGGTCACAACGCCAGCAACACTCATGGAATCAGTTTTTCCTGATCTTCAAACCAACTACAACAATATTGAGTGGCTTGCTGGGCGGGCCATTCTTGCCCCAAAAAACACTACTGTGACAACCCTTAATAGACAGCTTCTGGAAACTGTGCCAGGGGTGTTGCACGTTTACAAATCCATTGACAGAACTCCAGACCTCGCTGAAATGGCGAACTTTCCAGTGGAGTTCTTAAACAGCCTCCACCCCGCTGGTCTCCCTCCTCACATTCTGGAACTTAAAGTGGGAATCCCGGTTATGTTGCTTAGAAACCTGCGTCCACCGAAACTCTGTAATGGGACCAGGATAGTTATTCAGGCCCTACACCCAAACATTATTGAGGCCAAAATTATAACTGGCTGCGGTAAAGAGCAGCAAGTGCTTATCCCAAGAATGCATTTGTATCCATCAGATGCCAACGTTCCCTTCACTTTCCGAAGATCCCAATTCCCAGTCGCACCCTGTTTTGCTATGACAATTAATAAGGCCCAAGGACAAACGCTGTCTGTCACTGGTGTACACTTAGAGGAGTAGTGCTTCTCACACGGCCAACTTTACGTAGCCTGCTCTCGAGTCGGCAAACGCGAGGATGTGTTCCTTTATTCACCTTCGCAAAAAGCTAAAAATGTGGTCTACACTGAAGTCCTCAGCCAGTGATATGCAAACTCCATTCTATTTTTCCTTTCCATGCAAGAAAATTGAGGTCCCTGCCAAATCAAACATATTGAATGCTGGATTTGTGGTTTTGAATAGAGACATATGACCAGTCTCAATATTTCAGGAAACTGGGTTGGGTGTGAAAAAGTATTTGTTGTTAACATTCTTTTTTCATTCGCTTTTTCCAGTTACGAGTTCTTTTTTTTAAAGCAGATCGTTTTGTGTTCATTTTGTTTAGTTCTTTTTTCGTAACAGATTTAATGTTTAGTATAGAGGTTAGAAAAAATTCACAGTGTGAGATAGGCAAGAAGTAAGGCATGTAGCAACATCAGCACAGCAAAGGGCACTCCATTAAAGGCAAGGAGGGGCAAAAATATTTTAAGTCAAATGATAGTGATTGCTGTATGAGTCATACGATTTTTGAATCAAGCACGGGCAACGCCGGGCCATGCTTCTAGTGTAATATAATTTCATATTTCTAAATAATAAAGATTACATACTCATATAATTTAGCTTAACATGAAAATCTAAATGAATAATAAATCTTCAGAATATGTAATTTGTTTTTATATTTCTAAATACAAAAGATGAAATCATTTAATAATTTAGTATATTTTAAGTTTTCAATGTAAAAGCATAAATCTGCACAAAATATAACTTATTTTCACATTTCTAAAATAAAATGCTGAAATCCTTTGAAATTCACCTTACTTGAAGATTTCAATGTACACAAAGCATAAATATTCAGAAAAATTTAACTTAGTCTCATATTTCTAAATACTTAGTTAATTTATTTTCCTTTAATATTTGAATATAAAAATAGGATAAATCTGCATAAAATTTAATTTATTTTCATATTTCTAAATATAAAAGCTGAAATCCTTAGATCATTTAGCTTATTTTAAGATTTCAGTGTCAAAATCATAAATTTGCATTAAATTTAACTTATTTTCACATTTCAAAATAATGAAAATTATGTCATTAGATAATTTAGCTTATTAAAATCTAATCTGCAAAAAATGTAATTGGTTTTCATAATTCTAAAAAAAAAATGCTGAAAACTTTAGATAATTAAGCTTAAGATTTCAGTGTAAAAAGCATAAATCTGCATAAAATGGAACTTCTTTTCACATTTCTAAATAAAAAAGGTGAAATTCGTAGATAATTTAGCTTATCGTAAGATATCCATGTAAAGAAATGATGAATCTGGAGAAAATTTAACTTATTTTCATATTTATAAATAGCCTCAATCCTTAGATAATTTATCTCATTTAAGATTACAATGTAAAAAAAAGCATATATTTACATAAAATATAAGGTATTTTCATATTTTTAAAGAAAAACACTGAGATCCTTAGATAACTTAGCTTATTTTAATATTTCAATGTAAAAAAAATCATAAATCTACTTAAAATATTACTTATTTTCATTTTCTAAATTAAAAAGCTGAAATCATTAGATAATTTAGCACATTTTAAGATTTCAATGTAAAAAAGCATAAATCTGCATAAAACTTATTTTCATATTTCTAAATAAAAAATTGAAATCCTTAGATGATTTATCTTATTTTAAGTATTCAATGTAAAAAAAGCCTAAATCTGCAGAAAATATAACGTATTTTCATATTTCTAAATTAGAAATTAGATAATTTGCTAAGATATCAATGTAAATCCATAAATATGCATAAAATATAACTTATCATATTTCTAAGTTGAAATGCTTAGATAATTCAGTTTATGATTTTATTGTAAAATGATGAATCTTCTGAAAATTTAACTTATTTTCATATTTCTAAATAATAAAGCTTAAATCCATAATTTAGCTTATTTTCAGGTTTCAATGTAAAAAAGCATAATAAACCTGCATAAAATGTATCTTATTTTCTTATTTCTAAATTAGAAAGCTTACATCCTTAGTTACTTCTAAATGAAATAGCTTAAATCCTTAATTTAGCTTATTTTTAGATTTCAAAATAAAAAAGCATAAGTCAGCATAAAATGTAACTTAGTTTCATCCTTCTAAATAAAAAAGCTCAAATCCTTAGAAGATTTAGCTTATTAGTTTAATTAGTTTTTTAGTTTTAGTTTAATGTAAAAAAAGTCACAAATCTGCATAAAATGTAACATGTTCATATTTGTAAGTAAAAAAATCTTAAATCCTTTGATATTAAACTAAAAAGCATAAATCTGCATAATTGTGTCTTATTTTCATATTTCTGTATAAAAAAGGTTAAATCCTTAGATGATTTATTTTAAGATTTGAAATTAAAAAAATATAATTCTGTATATGATGTAACTTATTTTTATATTTGATAAAAAATCTTAAACCCTTAGATAATTTAGCTTATTTTATTTCAACATAAAAAAGCATACCTCTGCTTAAAATTTAAGTTATTTTCATGCTTTTAAATAAAAAAGGATAAATCTGAATAAAATGTAACTTTCATATTTCTAAAGAAAAAAGCTTAAATCCTTTGACAATTTAGCTTATTTTAAGATTTCAAAGTAATAAAGCTTTAACCAGCATAAAATGTAAACATATTTTCATATTTCTAAATTAAAAAGCTTAAATCCATAATTTAGCTCATTTTACATTTTCAAAATAAAAAAAGCATAAATCTGAATAAAATGTAAATGTTCTTCATATTTCTAAATAAAAGTTCAAATCTTTAGATTATTTAGCTTACTTTAAGATTTCAAAATAATAAAGCATAAATCTAAATAAATTATAACTGATTTTCATTTTTCTAAATAAAATTTAAATCCTTAGAAAATTTACCTCATGTTAAGATTTCAAAGTAAAAAAGTATAAATCTACATAAAATATAATGTATTTATTTCTCAATTGGATTTACATATGTGCTGTTCTCTGGTTATTCCTGTTGGCATGTTTGTCCTGTTAAAAAATCCTGAATGAACATGGAGAACCATCATGCATAAACATTGATTAATGTCTATAAGCGATACCATTTTCTCTTGCATTATTTCCACAAACTATGTACTGTTCGTTGTTGTTCCTGGAGTCAAGTAGAGTGCACCTGTTCCATATTTGGGTATAGCGCCCCAAATCTACTGGCTTGCTGTGTGCTTTGTAGTCTTAAGTTTTTCATGAAATCTTTTACCAGGGAAGTTTTCAGTTGCATTTTTTTTTAGGAGTAACAAACTTCTGCAGAGAAGATTCATGTGAAAAGAACCTTATTCCATTGCAAATTTAGAAATTTAATTTACTATATTTAAACACAGAAGTAATGTGTAGAAAAAACAACCTTAAATTTACAAATTTTGAATTCGAGAATGCTATAAAAATATTCTAAAAACTTACTGTGTAAAGGAAAGCTAAATTATGGAGGACACTAAATGTCATAATTTTTCAGTTTATTAAACAAAAGTTGACTTTTAGGCAATTATTGTTTATTTATATTTTGCTTATTCATTTATTTTTTTAAAGTTAATAGTTTTCTTTTAATTTTTAAAAGATAAGGTCATGCATAAGC